TATACAGACACCGTGAGAGCTAGCTCATTACATACAGCTGGCACCAGGGAATAGAATTCAAGAGCTTTATCTTTTGAAGCACAAACTCTCTGCCCAGGGAGTTAAAGCAGCAGAACAGGAGCTCTGACAGGAAAGGGGGTTGATATATACCTGGGCAAGGCTGTTCAAGTCTAGGAGGGGGCAGTGGTTCACACACATGTCCCAGCACAAAGAGTAGCTCACTTAGTTCATCCAGGAGAGAGGACCTCAGATACCCCAACAACTCTAACACACAAGCCATAGAAAGAACTGATGTGAGCCCTGACATATCCCAGCTAGCCAAGCGGACACAATCAGGGTAAGAGTTTGTATGTCTAGAGCATCTTCCATCCAATGATCTCAAAGCACTTCACAAACATTAGCTTGTACCAATAATGATTAATGAAGTACAATATGTGAATGTTAGGCCCATATTACAGCTATGGAACCTGAGGCATGGAGCGATGATGTGACTTGCCAAAGCTCACATAGGACAGCCGGGGCAAAGCCAGGAAAAGGACCCAGGTATTCTTACTCCCAGCCCCCACACCTCACCCACAGGACAAGCCACCTACCAAAAGCAAATACCCACACACGTGCCAGAGAACGAGACAATGTATGTATGTGCAGTGAATGGTCACTGCTCCTCCTCTGCATTGGTACCCACCAGCACAGACACAACAATGCCGATAACGGCAACTTGCATTTATATAGACGCTTTAACTCAAAGCTCACCGAGTGCTCTACTAAGATGAACCCATCCACTCCCCTCTGGACAAAATCTCTCCTATCAGAACCCTGACCTCAAAATTGTTCTTCCCAACCCCGGGGGAACCTTGTGCTTTTCTATAGGTTCAACAAAGCTTCTTCTTGACCTAAGTTCTCAGAATGCCTGAGATTCTTCAGATTTCAGCATGGCCGGACAAGACTCACTGGGCCTGAGGCAGAGCCCAATAGTAGGAGATACATTCCCCATCACTAGCTGGAGACTGGGATGGAGGGGTCCTTGGACTCAGTTTATCAACGTATTAGATTATGCAAGGTGTGGCTAAATAGATAGATCTGGGTTTTCATACCATATTCATCACCATGGTATCAGATACCATTCCATATATAGAGTGCTATTTAGCAACAATACCTTTCCAACCCAGGGCCAGCTGTGAGTATTAATTACCTGTGTGAGTACTGATGACCCCAGTGTAAACCCTAAGATCATTAACCTCAGCCTAATGGTTGATCAACTTGTGTCCCCCTAAAATACCTTGGGCACAAGGCACCCCAAAGTAGCCATCCCTCTTCCATACATCAGCCAGGTAGAGATCTCATTGTCTTTGAGTTTCTATTGACTGGTATGTATGGAGCACATAAAGCCAGTCTCCTCAGTATTAGAAAATTATTTTATAGATTCCATCTCCCATGTATTTTTATAGTTCTCCTCACTGTGGTATGTGGGCACCTCTTAAACCCCCATGACTCATGAGGTAGGTAAGAATGCTAATTATCATCTTCTAAACGAGGAACCAAGGCACAGATAAACTACAGTAGAACCTCACAGTTACAAACACCAGAGTTATGAATTGACAAGTCAACCACACGCCTTATTTGGAACTGGAAGTATGCAAAGGCAGCAAAGACAAAAACAAACAAACAAAAACAAACACAAATAAAAACAAAAACAAAAGTACAATAGTGTGTTAAACATAAACTACCAAAAAATAAAGGGAAAGTTTTAAAAAAAAGATTTGACAAGGTAGGAAAACTAGTTCTGTGCTTGTTTTATTTTAAGATGGCTAAAAGCAGCATTTTTCTTCTGCCTAGAAAAGTTTCAAAGCTGTATGAAGTCAATGTTCAGTTATAAACTTTTGAAAGAACAGCCACAACGTTTTGTTCTGTGTTCTGAACAATTTGGAGTTACGAATAACCTCCATTCCCGAGGTGTTTGTAACTCTGAGAGTCTACTGTAAATGACATGCTAACATCACCCAAGGAGTATGTGGTAGAGGTGAGAATTAAGCCCAGGTCTTCTGAAGCCTAGTGCAATGCCCATAACCACAAGACCATCCTTCGCCTGAAGCTCCCAACTGGCTATCCTACCGTTGATGTCATTCCTGTGACACCAATGCTGCCTAAGTAGCACACCTGGCTCTTTTTTGTCAGCACGTACAGCATTAATCCTGTTTCGTGACAGTAGGAAAGCTCTCGCACCAGATCACCTCTGGAAGGAGGAGGGTCACTGACCTTCAACCTGGTCCCTCACCTTTGAACTCTTGCCTTTCAGCCCAACACAAGCCATTCTATAAACACCTTCTTTCTAGAAATGTGCTGCTCAGAATATTTTGTTCCTTGACACCCCAACATTCAATGTGGTGCTAGGATTCCTGTCTTTATGACCTGACTCAACATCATCACCAATTGAGGCTATGTCACTTAGTTGCAAAGCCTCATGTGAAACTGAGATTGCCTGATTGCCTGTAAGAATGCAGGCCAAAACCATGACCATCCAGAGAATTTCAAAACGGCGGTGACCCTGGCTGGGGCTGGCCTAGGAAATTTTACCCCATCTGTAGAAACTGAAGGATATGTCTGAGGGATAGCACTCCCTAGTTTTCTGCCAGCACTGAGGACATCCTGTCATCCTGGCCAGCGCTTTTGTTCTTTTGAAAAAGGAAACAAAACCACTCACACTGAATGCAATGGGGACTACTCCCTAGGCAAATGGCACCAACACCTTTCCATATGCGATTGCTGTAGCACCCCGACCCCACACTGCCACCGGGTCTACAATGGGCCAGGTTCTTGTCTAAAATGAGGCACTGCTGTGGTATGTCTTTTGTCAGATGATGGTGTGATGTGCTCTCCTGAGTTAAACTGGCTCTGACCCAGCTGCTAGGATCTACTGGAGCTTTCGAGGATCTAAACAGGCCTCCATGCAGCTGCTATGATTTTTCATGGCTGAAATGGCTCTGATATGGCCATTAAGGTCTTCTGAGCCTAAACTAGTTTTGATGAGACTGCTAAGATCTCTCCTGCTTGAACGGGCTTTGGCACAGCCTCTAAGAACTCCCATGGCATGCTCCGGGCTGCATCCATTAATGGAGCAAACGCCAAGCGGGAGAGAGGAATTTAAGCCACTTTTCGCCCCTCTCATTTCTATCCTCATTTGATCAGTTTATGTATGTGAAATTAACAGTCTTCTTGTTTTAATCCCATCCTGCAATCCACATTGCATGACACAAACTGGATTCCAATAACCAACCCAGAACCAGCCCTGCTTTTTGGCAGGTAGATCCCATGCCCCCAGTGCCTGGAGAGGTCTTCTCACCCACCCACTCTCATCACCATGGGGTGAGGGCCACAGCCCTGCCTATGGTGCCTTAACAGTTGGGCAGGGCCCCCATCCCCAGGTTTGCACCCTTGTTGAGCTCCTGCTTTGCATGCGGAGAGGCATATAGGGGGCAATTTGTTTGATGCGGGGCTCGCCCCTCCCTCATCGCGCCCCCGCCGTCTCCTCGCCTGTGCCTTCCTGCTGTGCAAACAGGGAGGGGGCGGCGGAGGGAGGTTGGGGGCGGCGGTATTTAAATAGATTAATAATGCATGTTTCATGCAAATGAAGCTTTCCCGGGCTGTTGCATTAGCGCTGCCGGGAGGCTGCACCTCCCCCGGACCCACACGGGCGGGGGCTGCTCAGCACACAGCGCCGCGGTGGCAGCATCACGCCCAGGCGCTCGGGCCCCGCTCCCCAGCGATCCCACCCCCGCCCCGGGCGTGACACAGCGCGGCGCAGGCGAGCCCCCCGGGTATGGGCCCGGCCACCCACCTCCCAGACCGACCGCCCCAGAGCCCCGCTCAGCACCCCGGCCTCGCGGGGGAACCATTCCGCGCTTCCAAGTCCCACCCCCACATGCATGCATGTGCACTCTCTCCGACCTGCAGCAGGCACCCATGTGCACTCACACACACGTGCGCACACAGGAGGACGCATGCACATCCCGGGGCGCGCACGCCTGCATGCATGCTGGCACACATGTGCACGCCACACGCGCACACAGGAGCAGACGCACAGACAGCACCTCCCGAGCATGTCGGCTGCTGCAGCACCGGCAGGTCTCTGCTGCTCTCCGGCCAGCTCCACTGCCTGTCCTGGGATGACAATGGGATGCGTCCGGTCCCCCTTGTTCAGATTCTCCTCCCCGCACCCCGTGGTCCAAAGCAGGGGGCTGCTGACGCATACAAATGTGGGCACACTTTCTCGGGTGCAATAAACCGGCGCGCGGGCACCCTGCTCCCAGCACACACACAGGCACCCGGCTCTCCGGGCTGGCCCCCGGTGGCGCTGGCCAGCTGCAGGCGCACGCCACACATTCCCGGGGAGCCTTCTGCAGCCAGTGGAGCCTGCCAGCACAGCACGGGGGGAGGCAGGGAGAGCAGGAGGCTGACTTTCCCCACCCACTCAAAACATACCCCCGCCACCCACGCACTCCTGCCCCTGCAAAGAACCCCCGCCAAAGTTTGCAAAGCCACAGAGGCTGGAGAAAAGGGGCGGGGGAGGGGGGAGACACACAATCTCCCTCTTGCCACTATAGTTGCCAGCGCAAAATTAAAACCTACCCCTCCTGCTCCTGCAGGGGTTGCAACGGAGAAATCCAGCCGACCCCAGCTGCACGCCGCCGGCTCGGCATATTCACGACCCCCCGGCATACAGAGAGACCACCTGCATGCAAGGCAACGCTCCCTCCCCTCTTCACATGTGCTTCATGTGGCCGGCCAGCCCCTCGGAGCCTCTGCCCTGCCTCCACCTGGCCCCAAAGCAGCTACAGCTCTGGAGAGAGACCGGGGAGATTGGAGGGGGGAGGGAGAGATGCAGAGGGCGGGTTTGATCCTTCTCTCCCTAACCTGGCTGGGAGACAAGGGGCGACACGAAGAGCCGGGGCGGAAGCCAGCCCCACTGTGCATGCACAGCCGCCGCCGAGCGAGACACATACCTGCCGATCCAGCGGGGAGACTCTCACCCCCTCTTGGCTTCGATGATCGCTAGTGCAAGGGCTGACGCTCCCGCCGCGCGCGCGCGTGTGTGTGTGTGTGTGCGCGCGGGGGCCCCCTCCCCCGGCCTCACCCCTTTGCACGGTGGGTTCCCCTCTCCCCCAGCTGCTTCATTGCCCCGAGGCCCAGCGGCCGGGCTCACGATCCCCCGGCCGGGAGGAGACGGAGGCTGAAGCCGGGGCGGGCAGAGACAAGCGGGGGATTCGCCGCCGCTGCAGCTGCATCACCGGGAGCACCAGGCAGAAGGGGCTGTAGTGGCATTTAAACCGCCAGTGATTAATTCGGCCCGGGCTCTGGGGCGAGAGGCGATGCTGCTGCTCCCAGCTGGGGAGGCTGTGACAAGTGAAGGTTTGTCTCCCATGGAGCTAGCGCCCAGCCACAGCTCCGGTGCACACAGGTAAGGGGGTGGGCCTCCCTTAGCTGCTGGGGACCTACACCCTTCCCCTCACACGATCGCACACATGCAACAACTGCTGGGAAACTACCCACATATACATAGCATCACAACATGCAACAGCCGCTGGGGAGCTACACCCCTCCCCTCACACGATCGCACACATGCAACAGCTGCTGGGAAACTATCCCCTCCCCTCACACAATCGTACACATGCAACAGCTGCTGGGGAGCTATAGCACTCCCCTCCCACAATCACACACACGCACATACATAGCTGCTGAGACACTATCATTCCCCATACACACAAGCACAACAGCTACAGGGAAATCATCATATCCCTCACAGAAACAGACACACACAAGTGGTGTAGAGAAATAATGCCTGTCTCCAACCTCCTGCCCTTGCACACCTAGATATATGCAACAGCGCCACAAGTATTCCTGTTCTTTTTGCGGATACAGACTAACACGGCTGCTACTCTGAAGCAGAAAGGAAGATAGCTCTGTTCCTCACACTCACAAACACCACAGCTGTAGAAAAACTGTCCACTCTCTGAGGCACAACACACACACAGACAGACACAACAGCTGCAAAGAAACTCCTCATGTCCTTCACCCAAACACACACATGCAACAATGGAAGGGAAATGGTCCAAGTCCCTCAAACACAGCTGCAGAGAAACGGCTCACATCTCCTTCTCCCAACACACACACATGCACACAAACAACAGCTGGAGTGAAACCAGCAGCTATGCACAAATATAAACATACATACAACAGCTTCTGGGAAACTACTCATCTCTCTGTCTCTCTCTCTCACTCTCACACACACACACACACACACACACACACACACACACAGAAGCTGGGAAACAACTGACATCACACACAAAAATGCAGCAACCGTAGAGAAACTATCCTGTTGATCAAACATATCCACACAAGCATATGAAAGAGCGATGTTATTATTAATTATTATTATTTGTATTGTAATATTACCTAGGAGCCCCAGTCATGGACTAGGAGCCCATTGTGCTAGGCCTGTCCAAACAGAACAATAAGTTGGTATAACTACTCCATCTATCAAACACACGCACATGCACAAGTGTAGGGAACAACTATAGAGAAACTCTGTCCTTTGTTATAATAATAATACTTAGTTCTTTTCATCCATAGATCACAAAGCGCTTTGCAAAGGAGGTCGGTATCATTATCCCCATTTTACAGTTGGGGGAAACTGAGGCATAGAGAAGTAAAGTGACTTCCCCAAAGGTAAGCCAGTATGTCAGTGAAAGAACCGGGAATATAACCCACATTTACTCTCTCTCTCTCTCTCTCTCTCTCTCTCTCTCTCTCTCCCGCTTCAGGAAAACTACTTTATCTTGCCCATCCACAACAACTATAGGAAAACCGCCCACAGTGCACACACACAGACTTCAGGAATCCAAAGGACTATGAATGAACAAGATATATTAAGCCCCATCGGGTCCATCCCCTGGTCCAGTGCAGAATTCTTCCATGCAATATATTCTTCACGGCTTTGTCCACTCCATTTGTAAATGTTCCTGGGGATTATCCCATGACTGAATAGACTACACAAGTTAAGAATGTTTTCCACACTTTCTGCCTACATCAGCTGTAGAGACAGTCCCTCTCCCAGTTCATCACTCAATAAGCAAGGCCTTCTCCTGTCCTGTATCCACTACCACCATTAGTAGCCTAGCCTTCCAGACAGCCCTCAGCACTCAGTTTTGTAAACTTCGCCCTCCATGAAGATCAGTAAGCAGACAAGGGGGTAGGGTCTGGGTCCCATTAAGGCATCTGTATGTCACTCTGGAGAAGGAGGGTTGAAGTAGCCCCATAGAGCCCCCTCAGGGTGTTTGGGGAGGGAGGGCACAGCCATTCCCAAAGGAGCATGAGGGGAGGAAGTCATTCACCCTATCTTCCCCCCACCCCCCTCCACACACACACTTCTTGATCCAGGTGTGACCCCATGAGTGGGAAGAGGGAGGGGAGGAAAGTGGCTGTATGCACAGGGTAATCTGCCTTTGGAGCTTGGTGAGTGGTGGCAGGGGAAGGGGTCACATTGGGAGGGATTCCAATCACCAGGCCAGCTGATATCTCTCTCTCTCTCCTCCCCCTCCTTCCCTTTGTCTGTCCGTCTGTCTCTGTCCCTCATGGGGGCTGCATTCGCAGTTCCTGCTCTGCCTGGGAAAGAAGGAGGGACCCATGAGGAGGCCAGGCTCAGCCTCTCGCTGCAGTCAGAATCTCTCCGCTGATCTATAATGCGGTGAGCAGTGACAGATTGATTTTACAGCTCTGCTTGGAGCCGGCCGCTGGCCCTGGGCGGGGGATGAATCAGCTTTCTCTGGGCCTTGGCTTTTAGTTCATTATTTTCACTGAACCTCCCTCGCAGGCAGCTGGAGAGAAAGAGAGAGGGAGAAACACAAAGTTGGCAGAAGGGTTTTTTTTTGTCGGCGGTTCCCACCCTCACAGCTTGGGGCAGGGACTCCAGAAGGTGGGAAAGAAGAGGGAGGGGGAAGGGAAGGGCCTGTTGTCCATTACACTGGTACCTTGTTCTGCACCAGCTGCCCTGTTCAGAGAAGCCACGTCCATTTTATGTGGTTAACTAGTTGCTCCGTGTACACTGTTTGGGAGATGGAAAGCACTACATAGGGCTAAGTAGTATTCATGATGATGATGATTATACCAGAGCCTTATTCTGCACTGAATGGAGCCTGGGTCTATTTTAATGATACCAGTACTGGGTCTGCAACATGGAGATTGGGTTCATTTGACATAGTGCCAGTACCAATTGCTGCCCTAACAGCCCTGTACATAGAGGCCAGTTCCAATGACATGTTGCTGGCGCTGGCAGACTGAACGTCGTTCCCTTGGCAGGTCTACAGGATTGCTGACTAGCAGGCGCTCACAGGGGAGTTGAGTTGGAGAGTTCTCTGCCCTAGAAATCAGCTCCGAGGGGTGGGCATGGCACTGCTGGCATTGGGCAAACTACCCTTAGCAATCTGAGCCAGCCGAATTCACCACTCCATCCATTGCAAACCCCACTCAAGAGGAGAGTAATAAATCCCACTACCCAGTCTGAAGGGGCAGGTTTTCAGAAGTGTACCCAGGAGCATTGTGTACCTCCAGTATTGGGAGGGAGTGATCAGGACCTTGCATGGAGCCATGGATTTGTGCAGGACGAGGGGCTCTGGGTGACATATGCCTAATGAGAGGCAGGTGCAGTTTGGTATCTAACGAAAGATAGGGTTATTCTGCTCTCTGTCCCCAGCATCTGTGTAATGAATTGGAGCTGATCTCTGCTATGTCTGAATCTGAGTCTAGACCCACTGCTTAAAAGACATGTCAGAGCTGCATATGGGCTCTAGGGAATGTCACTCTGACGGGACACTCCCCTCCCACTTGCCCTGCAGGAGAGAGAGAGGAGAATCCTACATCCAGTTCATTCCGTTCCAGCCTTCTTCCCACTCATGGCTCCCCCAGTCGGACCCCACCCATTCCTCCCTCTGCTGGGGTGAAAGAGGAGCTTGGCCCCAATGTTCAGTCTATCCCAGGCTTCTCCTTCATACCCTGCTCTCTGAATGGGAATTGAGCCCTGGGTGAGACACAGGTTGCCTCTGATCCTCCCTGGCATGCCCCAAAGCCTCCTTGGAGGGAATAGATCCCTGGACTTACAGGGAGGAATGAGGGCATCCTGTGGAAGAGAGGAAAAGGGGTGGAGCTGGAGTCACAGGGGGCAGCTATGCAAAGGGAGCTATGATATCATTATGGTGGCTCCACCAATCCTAGGCAGGCAGCTTTCCACATCAATCCCATTCCCTCCCTCTCTCCCCGCCCCCCCATCTCTCCGTCCTGCAACTGCCTGTTGACCTGCACACCATGTTTCAATCACCCCCTTAGGGGACAGCTGGACAGGGATGAGAAAGTGGCCTTCAAGACAGACGGACAGACTTGCGTACTTCAAAATCAAAAGTCCTTTTGATCTTCAAAGATCAATGGGAGATGAAACAGAGGAGGGTGGGGAAAGAGGTGGCAGTGGGAGACAAAGAGACAGAGTGAGGTTTCCTAGATTTCTACCCCAGTGAGAGGAAGAGAGAGACAGCACATTCCGTCTCATCCACTTTGGTAATCTTTTAATCTCTTCTGTTTTAATCTTTCACGTCAGGAATGAGATAAAATAAATATTAAAACAGAAAACCCCACAGTTGGAATGGGTGAAGGAGGGGACAGACAGACGGACAGTGTGTCCTTCCCAGGCATTCTCTCTCCTTCCCTCCCTTTCTCCGCTGTCAAGCAGGAACCTGACTCGAGGCAGTGTGGTATGCTGGATCGCACACCTAACTGGCAGCCAGGACACCTGAGATCATGGCAGTACCATTGACTCACTGTGTGGTGTTGGGTAAGTCCCCACACCACTCTGTGCCTCAGTTTCCCCAACTTTTTGAAGGGCTGTGGGAGCAGGAGATGAGAAGCAGTAGATGTGTGAGCAGTAGATGTTGTTAGTAGGATTTCAACCCTCTCATGAGCTAAGGGAGAGAATAACAAATGAGCCCAGTGAATCACAGGGAAATAATCCCAGCCAGGGTGGCCCATGGAGGGGAGGAGAGTGGGGGCATCATCAATTCCCAGAGCAGAGCTGGGAGATGGAGATTATGACGTGAAAAAGTCATGGCCGCTCCCCACCTTCTCCCAAGGCTAATGGCAAAGGATCCAGTCCTGCTCCCATTGAAATCAACAGCAAAACTCCCATCCGTTTCAAAGGCAGCAGGATTGGACTCTCGTTTATTTCTTCGGTGCCCTTTCTAGGCTATTGATTGACCTGTGTTTAGTGAGAGAAAGCTAAGATATTAAATGAGACATTTGTTTAACAAAAATATAGATCCCAGAAGGAAAATTGTACAGACTTCTATAGCACAGTAATAGATGCAGTCAAAAAACGAGAGAGAGACAGAGAGAATCTTCCTATATGCATGGAAACTGCTCAGCACGTAGTAATGCGTTTATTATTATTATTAGATTTATACAAAAATATCCAAGGCTACAGATTTCACTGTCATAAATTATCAAAACAAATAACATTATGTATATTTTACGTATCTATCTCCCTTATATACAGTCCTAGCCTATAAAATATCACTTACTAACCCATGGATCATAAATATTCTAAAGAACCTAAAATTGATACATTATAAAATAGTCAGTAACTTGACGACGGGCTCCACTTAATTAGAGCAGGGCCACAGGGATGCTGAACTGGCCTCGTGAACTCATATACCATGGGTAGTTCCTCCCTCTCTCTCTGTTAACAAATTAGCCCTTCAACTGCTGCACTGAGGTGACAGCTGCTTCCCTCTTGGTGCTTGATCCTGAATGTGCCGAGCACTTGGGGTGAGATCCTGGCCCCGCTGAGGCAGATGGGAGTTTTGGCACTGACTTCAGTAAGGCCCTCGGACTGTGCTCCAGCAAAGCACTCAAGCCTGCACAGGAACAGTTCCACTGAAGTCAACAGGACTGTTTGTGAGCATTGTTGGGTTGGGACCAGAGGGTTCAGTTCTTTGAGGATGGAGCCCTCAGTGTCTGGCTCAAACCCCCATGCCAGGCGAGTGCAGTATAAAGGGGGTTTCCACTGGTGCTGGGTGAATAATGCAAACACCTTTAGGCAGCTATTCAGTCAACGCTTTCTGTGGATCCACTTGGCCATATCCATGTCCCTTTCATATTCACTTTCCATAAGAGTTTGAGCAATAACGTTTTGCTCACAAAAATGTTGGCAGAATATGAATTTCAGAGTTGCAACAGTTGTGAATACCATGGAGACGGAAATGTCTGTTCACACACAAGTATGCTTCTTGCATCTTCACTCAATCAGAGAGCAGGAAAAAAAGCATGTGACTTATCTGACCAATCACAACTCAGCAACATGGTTTGATGTGGGATAGTTGCAATCAACCTAACGAATGCAAAAACATTGAAATAACATATAAATTGTGATCTGCAAGCAGAAAAAGAGGTTCAGTTGGTTGAATTTTTATTAACAATTAGTTGCTCACCTCTGCTTTCAAGATTCCAGAATTTAACAGAACGAGTCAAACTGGAAATATGGCCAGGAACTTATTAACGGTTGCTCTTACTTCTTAGTCCAAACCTCATCTTCTGTTGTTTGTTACCATGCTTCCTTATATCCTATCCATCTCATGCCTATTGCTATTTATATATCAGTCTGATAGCTATTACTATCTATCCATCCATCCGTCAGGCGCCTGTCACTGGTACCTATGCAGTGCTCTCACCTGGTATCTCATCCAACTCCCACTGAAGTCAAAGGGAGCCTTGCCATTGCCTTGAATGGGAATTGGATTGGGCCTCCTGGTCCTTTTCCCATAATTCCCCTCTCCAGTCCCTCCACCTGCCTTGCAATCTCCAGCCAGCAGAGTCCCCCACCCTTTACTCCCTGAGGGCCACACTCTTGCATTCACTTCCAGAATGCCAATGGATAAAGAGACTCTAATCTCCCAACCAACCCATCTCCGCCCCATCGATAAGGCAGGAAGATGGCTTTAATGAGGAACAATTTGCTATTCAGTAGGTCCTTAATTAATATTAAAATCTAAGACAGGTGTTGAGTTTTAATTTTAAATCTTCTCTCTTTTTTTTTACATTTATTTCACCTTGTTAACGCATTTGTGATTTAGATGCAGTTTCCTCTCTCCACCGTGCTTAATGAGTCGCAGGCTTTATTCCCTCTCACTCTTGTCCTCACGGGAGCATGCTTTGATTTTCTAGTGGGTGCATGAAAACACAGATTAAAGCAATTAGACAGAAATAATCTTAGGGAGAGGAGAGAGAGATCCAGAGCGCCTAATTATATCATTTTAATCAAGACACAATTATGCAGAGACTTTTATAGATTATAAATTAGCCAAACTCCAAAGGCAAAAAAATATCATTTTAAATACTGTGCATTGCGCCTGTTGTTTCCTCCTTTCAATCTTTCCTGAACTGGATTTCTAGGGCTCACAGAGCCGCCCCGAACCAAAACTGCATTTCAGTGCTCACTGGATTTGTTAGCATTTTACTGATTAGCTGAGGAAGTTGTGTCTGCTAACAGGCCACAGTTTACTGCAGGAGAATTCCAGCAGTTTATCAATCTCAGACAGAGCTAGGTTTTTGGTAAGAAAAGACAGGGATCTGGATGCTTGCAACTACACCCTGTTTTATTTCCCCCAATACACCCCAAAAGGATACACCCAGCAGCTTCCTGTTAAG